CAGCTAACCAAAGGCCAGTAAATTGTTTGCCTCCGAGCTGCTCCCGCTGAAGCTGCCGAACCCGCTCCTGCACTCAGCAAACTCAGGCCCCAAAGATGAAGCACATCGAAAAGCAATGCTCCGCTAACAACAACACAAATACCAATCATATTTGGAATAAGAATGAAAAATAATGAGAGGAATTAAAATAATCGTAATAACAATAAGAATATGTCTGAAGCCATGTACCTCTTGTATGAGTAGTAGTACGGAAAAATAACAATATCAGCTTCAGTATTAGTAATAGTAATAAGTAGTATTAATAGTAAAAATAATAGTAGTCAATAGTAATTGTAGAGCCAGCACCCAGGCTTGAAGGATCTTGCCTTGCGCGACGGTTCTTTGCCGCCCTCAACATCTCGCCGGCGCCGCGGTTGTTCATCGTCCATGGCAAAGGCTTTGGATCCAGAGGCTCGCAAATCTTCAGTAAAGCACAATGTGCTGGTTAAACATGTGTTGAGGACTGTCTGGTACATCTCCCAAGGGAGGCTCCGGAACAAGAAATCCCGCATCGGAAAAGGTGAATATTTCAGGCCGGCCGCAAGCCTCTTGCAACTGCAGCGAGAGCTTCACAAAACAAGTTTCACTTTTTACATCTGAGAAGCTCAGGCCACAGCTCTCGTGCTCTCGTGCCTTGGTTTTGCGTCACTGGGGGTTCTGAGGGGCGCACATCACACAGAAAGATAACAAACTTAGCCAATGCGCGCATCATACACGATGCAATGCAATGAATTGAACTGCGGGGGGGGGGGGGGGGGNNGTGGCAGCCGTTCAGCGAGTAGAAACAAAGATGTTTGCATCAGATCTGCTGGGAGCTGGGCGTAGCTGGCGTGGATGTTCGTCACCTGCTCGCGACAAGTTCGCTCAGGTATGTAGAAGCAGTTAAATTCCAGCAGCAGCTCAAGCTCTGGCCAGTACTCTTAACCCCTTCATGCTCCAAAGCCTTGGGGTTATTGTCGAAGGTGACGGCTCTCGCCTCCGCAGCCTTGTGTCCGAAAGGGCCCCAAGCTGTACAGTAGGTAGGTGTCAGAAGGGCAAGGTTGTCCATAGCAGTCGCGAGCTATTTGGGATGCACTGCTTCACTGTATCTTCACGGCTTCACATGTCATCTGAAGACCATACCAAGGAGAGTAACGAACGCCAGGAGTACAAACACACTCTTTCAACAAAACCATCAAGGGCACTGTTGCATGGGGCTATTTGGGCGCCTTGTTATCCGCGCTGGGTGCAAAGGTGCTCGAAGATTCCTGCCAGCCACCATGGATTGAAGACACGAGCACAGAGCAGTGGCTACAGTTGCCAGTACAGATGTCGCTATGGCGACTTTTGCTGTTTATACAGCTGCTTGCCTCCACCTTCATGATGTCAGTACATTTGCCGTTGCTAGATTTAGTTCCTCTTCTTTTTGAATGGAAGAAGTGGTCGTGATAAACTTGAACTCTTGTCGCTGATCACAAGCGGCGCCTTTGTCGGTGCACCTGCCAGTGGCCAAAAACTCTCAGATCAACGGGATGCTGGGGCCATCGTACAGAATGGGGATCTCTCCCAAAAGTAGGGTATCAGACAAAATCTTCTGTCCCAATTGTTCGCAAAGACATTCCCGCCTTTAACAGCTCTTTAGACAGGTTCAGTGAGGCATGTTCGCCCAGCCTCCGTCCCTAGCTCGACTCCAAGGATCATCTTTGGCCCAGGGATCTTCCTCGCGTGGTAAGAGAAGAAACACAGGGACAAGCTCTTTGATACATCAAGGCCAGCAGGAGCTGGCCTTGGCACTCGGAGCAGGATTTGACCAAATATCGGAGCCCTGGCACATGTTTCAGAAGCTCGCAACCAGAAGAAAGCTCCCACTCAGCATTGCACCCGCCTCTGGTAAAGTCTCGGGAGGGGATGGCCTGCACAGGGAGGGCAGGGTGGGCTTCTCAATCTACTGTGGCTGCGATGACCGCCTAGTTTGTTGAATCTTCTGGCCTGGCACCATAGGATGGAGCAGGCAGCGACACGCTGCCGTCAGCCATGACCTCATTCGGAGCTGCCCCAGAAGTTGCGGGGCGGGGCCGTGTCCAATACAGCATTTCATGCTATCTGTATTCGGCTCTTATGGCCAAGCCTCATGATGTCTGACGGTTTGCTTGCATTACCCTCTGCAGATGGCAGCTTTTCAGGGTGCTCCTGCCTTTGATACTTCTAGCAAGCAGCTTGCAACCTAGAACCGGATGACTATTAGGGGGCGTAGGGTTTGGGAGGTTCTAGGCGTTTGACCTCCTCCAGTCTCTTGAGGAACTGCTGCGCTGCCTGAGTCAGAAGCAGGCTAGAAACATCAGCAGAAAAGTAGACATGCGGCCTTCACGCGAGACTCGATGTTCCCAAGCAGCGTGCAGAGTCCCTGCAGGTGTGGAGGGGATGGCGACTGCATGCAGAAACACCGAGTCAGAAAAACCTTTCAGCAGCCAAACATGCACTCAAAGTCTCATAAGATCGCCTCATCGTGGGAGGGCAGGTCACGAACCTCGATTTCGCAGCCTGACATCTGGCGAACGTCCTGTAAGCAAGTTGGCACTTCGTGGCATCGTCTACATCTGAAATACTTCTCCGTGGCGGCCGCAGGACTCAAGGCAATGAAGCACATTGGATGCAGAAAAACCTAGCACCTAGGAGAAGAAGATGTCAGGGCTCCTTGATCTCTGCATCATTTGTGAGCTGCCGGGGGATCAGCATCAGCGTCTCGCGCGGAGCCTCAGAGGCTCGGGCTTTGACGGGCTGCACTGGAGTAGTACCATCTTGGCGGCAGGCTGATAAAGCCGGCATGTTGTCCACAGCTATGAGAATGATCTGGATGCCTGCACTCTGCCGGTTTTGGACGTCGCTGACAGATTGCGAGATCTCGTCCCATGACATTGACCTAGGCACTGCCTTATCGAGCAGCCACCATGGCAAAGCCGGGTGCGGCGCCTTCTGCCTTTGCTTCGAAGCGGCCCCCGATCTCAACAATACGGTCGGTCACCGGCACTCCAGGTGGAACCTGCAAAGTCGCAGAGCTTGGCAGCTTTTCTGGGTGGAGGGGAAGGAACTACAATGGACTACAGTAGCCGCAAAAACATCTGCCGTCTTCCTGCACTCGTGACCTGCCTCGCCCTCCTTAAGCACTTGTATGTGGGCCCCGCTGTTCTCCTGGGCCGATGGAAACAGCAGCTCGCATGGTCTTAAACTCAGTGTTCCACCGTCCTGCAACTCACGTATGTGGCGGCCCTGCTTTCCGATAATCCAGCCGGCCACCTGCAGAGCCCGGCGCAGCTGAAGTGAAGCCTGCTTACCCTATAGTCTACCTGCTTTCATTTGCAAGGCCTGTGTCGCCACAACGAATTTTGCGTTGGTGCGGGGATTGCCTGGTCCACCGGCGGAGGGCACGGCAAGACACTGCACTAAGCGTGGTAACTCTCGTTCGCCTCCCGTGGGCTGTGCTGCACGGCCGGGGGCTCCGAAGGATCCACCCATACCGCCCGAGTCCTCTGACCAAGGGCTGCTTGTCACTGCAACCTGACCTTTTTTCTGGGCCGTTTGCCGTCCTCTGGTCTCTGGGCTCCAGGTCTGTACCGGAAGTCGGTGGGCTGTAGCCTGCCTCTATCAGCCTGGGCGCCGCATCCGGAGATCAGAAAAAAGATCCGGGCGTGAACTCCTCATCCGTGCTGGGAAGCGTGCTAGATCTTGCAGGATGGCATTGATCTTGCTCACAGCAGAGACCACTTGACCTGGCTGGCAAGCAAGAATACAAAGACCCACAGCAGAAAACTGCAGTACAGGAAGAGAATACACCCGCGCAAGACGGGCAGAGGATTGCTGCCGTGCCACAAGGCCGCATGTGCAGCGTACGGAGCGAGAGAAATCAGGCAGTCCAAAGTCGGGCCAAGTTGTTCATTGAGAAGGCCACTCACCCCGAAAAGTATCCCGACACCTTGAGAAGACATGAACATCTTCCTGGGCTCCCAGCCACCAGTCCCAGTGACTCCAATGGGCTGGTCGTTCATTCCTGCTCTGCTCTAAGGCTGTCATCTTTGGCGCTTAAAAATAAGGACAACCTGGAAGCCTCCTGCCCTGACACCCTTGAAACCGCATCCGGACAAAACTGGGCACTGCTGGGCGTGCCGTGAATGCTTTCTTTGGCCACGCTCACCTCTGCCCCGCTGAGCTCGATGACCTGCGCAGCTTCATTCAGCGTCGACAGCATCGCCATGTGCCGCTGCAGGGCCAAAAACAATACAATTCAAACTGCGCAAAGTTTCTGTCACGCGGTGTCTCAGTGTGCAATGTATCGAAGGCTTCTCCAGGCTTAATCGATTTTCGCAGAGCCGGGCCTCCTTGATTTGGGCACCTTTGCTCCCTATCACCGCTGGTGCTGCAGTTGAAGGGACCTTCGCAAGGGTTTTTTCCCATGGCACAGCCGCTGCTGCTCAGAACTGAGCATGCTTGGCGAGCTGGAGCTGGATGCTGACAGTTTGTGACCCAAGCCCATCTAGGCTGAGGTAGCTCACGCAATTGCAAGCTTACCCCACCACTGGCTAAGGCAGGGACAATGATCACGAAGACTCCGGGCTCCTCACGAGCACATTCGTAGTCATCTGGTCCAGCGTGAGGATCAACGAGAGTCCCCAAGCATAAGTCCCTACCGTCGCATCCGTCGCCTGGTCGACGACCTCCTGTAGCACCCTGAGCTTGTCCACAATTCTTCGACAAGCTGCCTGGCTGCTTCAGCTGCAAGTGCAAGTCTTTAATTTCATGTTTCATGCATGTTCAGTGAAATCAAGTAAAAGTGGACGAGCCTCCTTTTGCTCTACATTCCCGCTAATGGTGAGGATCTTGTCCGAAAGCCTGCGTGCGCGAGCTGCTCTTTATAGCGTCCTATCAACAGACAAATGCTACTCTGCCGAGCTGCGACGACGGCGTATCACCGTCACCAGACAGCTCGCAGCCTGCAAATTACAGAAGACATCAGAAGAGCAACAAAGGGTCCACGATGATACAAAGGTTGCTTGTTCCAACCTCTGCTGAATTACGAACTTGTGGGCGTCACTTGCATCATGCAAGGGCCCGCCTGCGCCTGTGGCATCACAGATCTCCCGGAGGCCATCCGCGCCAGAGAATGTGGGCACCGCGTCTGCCTTGGCGGCATTAGTGACTGACCGGTCCTGGCCAACATCTGCTTCCAACTGCAATACTGCATTGGAGCATTTAGAAGATCGAAGGGAGGCAAAGCACAAATCCGCAAAGCCTAAATCCAGGCCCGAGCTGGTAGAAGGGCCCTCCATGGCACAGGGAAGTTCATTGTGCAAAGGTGCTTTAGGTGTAGTGTAGTGATGGTACTACAGGTCTAGAAGATGAGTTAGCAGCTGCATCTCCTCATAACCGACGAGCAACAGAGAACAACGTCTTTCTTTCCTAATGCCAACAGGATGCTCACTCCAGTGGTGCTGTGTAGCTGGAAATTGGCTCCCTATGCCAAGCAGCCAAAGCTGGCAATTTTGAGATGAGAACTTGCTTGCCTGTCCACTCCTTTCTGGCTTTGAGTAGCAAGTTTAACCAAGCGAAGCTGAACAAGCTCATGGAATCCGACACAGCGCCATCCCTGGCATCTTTGTGACTCACTGCCCTTTCCTACCACGAGGCAATCTTCAGAAATCGCTTCAAGATTCCTGCACGCAGCCAAACTTTTTTTCTTCCGCTCCTTCTTGGCGTGTCACTGGCCCAACCTGAGCACCAGCACCGGCCGTATTGGAAACCTTCCCTCTCCCTCAAGCTCTCATACTCATCCCCCTCAACAACCCAGGCCAGAGCTGCCCTCCCGCTTTCTGCACAGAACACCGCCGGTCGCGTTGCAGAAGAGTCGCTTAAAAAGCGGCAGCGGTGCCTTGAGCCTTAGCATGTGCTGGTGCACTACACTTCACTTCACCGCTCCTGGCTTGGCTCGAAGCCAACCGCTGCTCAGCTCTTGCGCATCGCATCCACCTACCCGCAGCCAGAAGGAACACGGGGGAGCCTCAACTCCGAAGCGTTCCCAGATCAACCTATCTGATTACTCCATTTCAAAGTGAACCCGGGAGCATCCATGCTGAACTGAGCTTTAAAAGTACTGGAAAGATCACCACCGCTTGATCTGCCCCTTACAGCCCATCTAATCCCTATATAATACCCTATAAAATAAGTTCGCTTCTTCCCTACTAACCCCCAGTGAGAATAATGAACTCAAAAAATGATTTGCACACGGGTATGTGTTTCATATCCTCACCTCTAACATTAACGCCCCCCGATATTGAATGATCCCATTGCCGTATAACATATGATGTTGAGGGGGGTGGAATCGTGGGGAGGGGGGCGGGGGGGGTGTAGCCCTGGCCCGCAGTCATCGATTGATTACCGACTCCGCTGATCATGAACAATGCACTGATGAACTCCTAAGATATGTCAACACTGTCTGTTCCACTTCATTCTTTGACGTTGACCATCCAAGCCATCACAGCTGCGAAGTTCAAAGTGGAGACTCGCTTCCATTCTTAAGCTAACTGTTTGCGGGCCGCCAGCCGTCGCCTTAATCCCATACCTCAAAACATATCAAGACATCTCAAGAGAATTCTCAACTTGCAAAAGATACCCGTGTGAAGGGGGGTCCCAATAGTGTTGTGCTCTGCCAATCCCAGCCTCACCCTTGACTTCCAGGCGCCTGCAAGACATCAAAGTGACGGCCCTGGCTACAGGAAGCTTCAGGTCCTCTTCGTCAGCGGGTTCGCAACAGCAGCCACCAAGGCAGCTCCGTAGATAAGAACAAGCGAAATGCCGCCTTCAAGCGCTCACATGTCATACAACATGATGCAACTTCATAATATAGTAGGTATACGTTATACTATAATATAGCATCTATTAGATCATAGTACATTATATACTATAGTATAACTTCAAACTATGCATAATCTCTCAGAAGTGCTTCCCACCTACCAGCCAGCTCTGCAGCATGGCAACAACGCTGTCGTAAGCGTTTGCGGGCTGCTCAACCTCCAAGCAGAAGTACAGGCATCGTGGAATATGCATTCGCAAGGATCCTATACTACTGTTAAACTTTAATATGATATATACTATATTATACTAGAATATAATATATACTATATTACAATATAATTTATATGCTAGTAGATATACTATATGGAAGTTTCCCTAAATTACTGTTCTCAAAATGGGGGAAACTTATATAGGGTCCCCTACTATACTAGGAACCCAAGTATAGGACGCCGTATTGACAGTAATTTAGGACAATCCCCATATACTATTATTCTAGTATAATCTACTATTACCGTACTATAATGTATCCTCTTATTATACTATAATATATACGATTATTCTACCATTACATATACTACTATCATGACACTACTATGAATATACACACATATTTTTTCTACTATAGTATATACTTCTTGAAGATGATGTTACATATATATATACTATTTTCTATACGGTAATATGTACTGTACTATCGCAAGGATCTGGAAAATCTTGCAAAGCCCCCTGCGGCCAGGGGAGACAGCCCCGCAAAAGTTGCGCCCAAGACCCGTGCCTAACAAGTCAGGTTAAGGGCCATCAGCTGTCCATAATAGCAAACATAATATAATGATAGTATATATTCTAGTATGACGTTCGTACATATATATATATACATATATACCTATGTTCGTTTATTCATATATAGTAGTATAGTTATAATACATATTCTTACATGATAACCACATCTATATTACGGTACAATCATAACATATACTGTAATACAGTAATAGTATCAGTATCTATTATAATATAAGAAAAGTATATGACAGAAAGAGAGATACCCTGTCTCCTGCTAAGCTCTGCACATCCACCTCCGGCAGAGCTCCTCACAGGCACATCACCGCAGCAGAGCACACTACCTGGTGCCACGCATAAGCTCTCCCACCCTGTCTTGCAGAAGGGCCGCAGACGAAAGCTCGCGAGACCTCAAAAACAAAATGGATCAGCTCATGATGGTGAAGACCTTGAAGTCTCAAACCTCTGCCCTTCACCATACAGAATAGGGAAACAAATTTGACTTGGCCAGCCACCCGCAAACAAGACCAAACTTGTCCAAAGCATGCACACCTTACCCGCACAAGTATGAGACCAGGGCCAGCAGGGCGCAGCCAAGGGCAAGTGCAACCAGAAGTGGGCTTGCACCTCACAGATTTAAGCTACTATTATGGCATAATATATACTATTACCTTACTATAATGTATACGTTTATTATACTGAAATATGTGCTATTTTTTTGTTCAATGTCGGCTCTGCTACATCACATTACATCACACTCTTGCTTCTGTTGCACATGGTGCTGCTCGGCTCTCAGGCAGGGGCGGGTCCGAGCCATGTTGTGTACTGGCAGATCTGCGGCAGCAAAGGGAGCGCAAGTGGCACACACACTTTAGGCACCCTGGAACAGAAGTCATTTGCAGATCTTTTGCCTGGAGAAGGGGATGCCGGTATGATGCGCTGAGAAACAGCTGAGGAGCAAAGGATTACAACCAGTGTTTCTGCTCCAGAGCTGGCTGAGATCTGAGATTTGTCACGCCGCTTACCCCGCAGCTGCGTGTTCAAGACTTTTCTTCCGCCCGTGAAGACATGCATTGGTATTACCCCTTCCGATGGCAGCTCAGTTGAAGGCTAAAGAATCAAGGCTCTGCTTTGGGCGCTGCCCCCTCCCAGCAAGACATACCGGAACAGGCTCACAAAGAAAGACACAAAAGAAATTGATCATGCTCATGAGACATTTGATCATATTACACTACAATAATAGTATACATTACGTTATAATGTAGGTAGTATAGTATATGTTATAGTACAATAAGATTGAGTTTTTCCCCTCTCCTGACCTGATCTCTGTTGCCCTCCACTCCTTTCCTGTTCACTCATGATTTCACCTCTGGGCTGCTGGAGAATCATGAGGTAGCTCCCCAAGATCATGGAACCCCAATATAGGTTGGGTTGCGCCCCCGCTTACAAATAGTGGTATACTAGGAATATATAAGGACACTAATTTGATCACCATTATCTCTGGTGGTCACTAGTAGTGGGTGGGGGCCCCACCTAAAATTTAGGCCCCAAAAATACTAGGGTTTAGGGCTTAGGGTTCATCCTTATTATGGGGACAACCAAAAAGGGTACCCCTAATTTTGAGAGGCCCTTAGAGAGGACTAAGACGAACCCGGGCTGCCGGGATTTGGTGGCTTTCCCAAAACAAGGGGACTCCAATTAAGGCCCCAAAATAAGGATTATAGAATTTTGGTGTCTATATTCAAAAAAAACAGCCCAAAATACTATAATCCTTATTTTGGGGGACCCCCAGAAGGTACAACGAATTTTGGGAAACCCCCCATGTCTCCATCTCAGCATGATTCCGCATAGTTAGCACAAAGGATTGTCTGCTGGAGAGTAGGAGCCATCACTCATAGCGCACAGCAGCTATGGTTGCAGTATTAGAGGAATACTAGCCCCTATATCCCCAATATAATATAATGGTTTCCATGTTTTTTCCATTATCCCTATATCCCCAAGACAATATAGTAGTTTCCATTTTCTTTTCCATTGTGCCTATATGACCTAATAGTCAGCTAGACCATCTTTGACACTTAATTAGACCCCTAACGACCACAGCAGGGATTGGCTGGATGTCTGCATTTCTGAGTTGCAAAAAATGTCCCGAAAACTAATGTAACCATAGCATCAATAAAGGGGGTGGCAATAGCATTGAGTTGCCGGACCGGAAAATCACGTACCAGCAAATTTGCTTTCTAACAAGTTTTGAGCCCAACAAGGTCTACTTAGGTCCAAATCGCAATGACAAAGGGGTGGCAATAATATATTTTTCCGGCCCGGAATATCCCGATTTTATTATATTTCCTTTGAAACTACTGGTACTACGAGCTGCACTACCTAGTCCTACCGCCACCCCCGACATTTATTATTGCGACCCCCCCCCTTCCATAAGCCCGAATCGCAAAACAAGTTCTGGGGGGAAAGGGGAGTTATTAATGTCACGGTAACATTAAGGTCCCCATACTTTCCCCAACAAAGAAGAAAGGAGGATCATGAACAAATCATAACGCTTGCATGTCTACAGAAGGCATCTCACCACAGCTTTCACGGGGTTGGCCATGGACGCCACAAGGACGGCCCGAAGCCTCCTGCCAGGAACCAGTGACTGGGCTTGCCGTTGCTGCTGTGTGTCTGTGGATCCGTCAAACCTTGCTCAGGGAGCCTTGAAAGCTGACGGTGGATGTGAAAAAGCTGACCAGAACTATCCAGGGCATGCAGCAAAGAATGTGACGATTGCAACCCCTCAGTCAGAAGCCTACGAGCCGTTGCTGAAACACTGCAGAACTCAAAGGGGGAATTTCCCGGCCCGGCTTGACGCAAAGGCGCTGGCCAGTGCGCAACATGCCCCAGCACACTAGCCTCAGTGGCAAATCAATTACAGCTAGATCCATGCGTAACCGTTCTAGCACGGATAACAACATGAGGAACTGCTTGCATAAATGTTCAACTACTTGCGCTTCATGGAATGAGGCAACTCGGAGATTCCAGCAGCCTGGTCCTCGAAAAGCACAGTTCTTTCTTTTGCTGGCCAGATCACTAAATAGTTGCTTTGCACCACGACACCCTCGGGATGCAGGGGAGCCACCCACAATTGCAGAGAGGGTGAGGGACCTGTTCTCTGCAAAGCGCCATGGAAATTGTGGGGCAGAAGCTACTGCGAACGCAAGGCCAGGCTTCGAACACAGTTGAGTGATGAAGCCGAGTTGGCGGAGAAGATCCTGTACCATGAAGCTGTGCTTCTGTGGGCGAGATGTTTCATCCCGGCACAGGGAAATACAAGAAGTACTAACTACACGCACCCGGGTCACGCCCATGAAAGCCCGTTCTTTTCAGTTCACCAATGACAGGCCAGGTGCTAGATGTCAAGCTTCATCTTGCATGGGCATGGCACAGTTTGTGCGGACGGCACCAGAGGTTCCAGGGGCTGTAAGTGTCTTGTCAAGGGACTTACAGGTTCCCTGAAAGATGGGCTCAAAAGTTGAATCAGCCTGAAGAATATTCAAAAAAGGCAGCTCAATTGACCCTGCATCCTTCGACGCAGAATCAAGTACGAGTACTGCCAAAGTGAAGAGCCAAAGGCCCAAGAGGTAGGACAAAAGAGCTTCATCAAAACGAACTGCAGAAGCCTGCTGCGTCCTGTAGCTGTCCTTTACGCCTAGCTTTCAATCATTCCTGGCAGGCTCAGTGAACTTAAGGAGCCAAGCAGAGCCAACTTTGCCTTAGGCGGGCGCATTCCTTGCACCTTCCCTGGCAAGGCCACCCGAGCATCTGGGCTTTGACCTTGCTGGGCCAACCCCTCGTTGAGAGCTGCAATTTGTCGTCGCCTGGCTTCGGCCAAAATGCCCCGGTAGACGGCAACACGGACGCAGTATCGCCGCACCAGACGAAAGAGCTCTGGGCAGGTGATGCGCCGCCGTTGGATCACTTGCATGAAGTCCTCCAAAGCAATTTGTCAAAGGAACTTGCACAACCCTAAGCAAGTGAAGCGGATCGCGCTTAAAACTTACAACGCCTGTCAACAAGGTACTAGTATATATTATAGTACAACAATAGCATACATTATTTCGTAAAAATGTTAAAAATGTTATATTATTACATTATATATAATGTAACAATGTATATCATATCAGTCCTCACGAGCGAGGCTCAGCAGCTCCACGTACGTGAGCGCATAACCAGCCACGGGGCGGATCAGGGAGGTGTCAGAGAGCACGAAATCCTCGCCCCAAACCTCACCCAGGCCCCCTATTCGACTGTTGAGGGCTACCAGGCCCTTGGAGAGGATGTACAGCACCTGCACGTTGTGGAATGTCTCCTGCTGAGCCGTACTGAGCCCTAAAACCTCGAGCCCTGAAGCATAAACACTCAGCCATACAAGACCCAAATGGCAGTTTCCCTCAGCCCTACAACCCTTCTTATGGGGACCCCCCCAAAAAAAAACACCTAATTTTAGGAAACCCCCGAATCTGTCTGAGCTCTACATCCTGAGACGCGTCTCCTGCTGCGCAAAAGCTGCCAGGTTCAGGCACCTTGCAACATCGGCCACACAGGCCTCGAAAGGGGCTGTGTGCTCTCCGAGCCTGCTCTGCATTTCGATGAAGGCCAGGAAGCTCTTGAAAAAGCTTACCTGGCTGCTACTTTGAGGCCCCCCCCAAAATGCATAGGTCCCCTTCTGAGGCACTAAGGGAAATGAATGGTTATCCCAAAGTGCCACCCGAGCACCTTCTTCAGCCACATCATGTTCGTCATCACGGAAACCTCGGCTTGGAGCTGTGGACTCATCCGTCTCATCAGCGTCTGCCGGGCGACGAAGAGGCTCTGACTCCGATTCTGCAGGAAGTAGCGCCGCACCCGGTTCTGCAAAGGTAGGGATTATGAGCTAAGGGGATTGTTAGGATCCATACTGTGGATTATAAGAAGGTCAAAAGAGGTCACTTGGGTAGGTGGGCTTGCGGCATAAACCAGGGAAATCATCAAGCTACACCTCTATTTGTTTCTCGAAATGTGGTTTCTTGAAAGGCTCTGCTGTGAAGCCCGAAGCCCTTGGCCTGCAAACTTCTGGGCAGTCGCTGGTCTCGCATCATCTTGTTCAGGTGGTGCATGGTCTTGCGAAATTCCTGACCCTCCACGGTCATGTCTGCAACAATTGTTCCCACCTCTCCGATGATGTAGGCCCAGGACAGCCCCGCAGTCAGCAGGATGCCGCAACAAACCTTGGGATGATTCAGCTCGTATGACACACATGTCCCCTTTCCGTCACTTCATGGAACAGAGGTCTGATGTGTCTAGCGCCACAGGCCTCTAGACCTCAAGAGACAAAAGCAAAAGCAGCTGAAACAATAGCTGGTGGACCCCGCGCTCGAGGATGTTTTGAGGGCTGATGTCTCCGTAGCCCACCGATGTGATGGTATAGCTACAAAAGTAAAAGGCAGCAATGTATATCCTGAACGGAGAGTCTGTGGTGATGATGCCATAAGCAGCGTCTGCCTCCTGAATTTCATCGATCCAGCGAGGGTAGTAGGCGTCCACTGCTGAGAGGGTCACTGCCCAGCCACAGGCTAGCCAGTGGCATATGAACAAAAGGATGAACATGAACTTCACTAGCGCAATCTTCTGGTAAGGGATAGACACTGGCGCCTCCAGGTCCTGCAGGGTCGCAGACAATCCAGTTAGCATTAAGCAGTGCCTCCTACCTACCTGTCACTGAAGACTCCTGCAGGATTTTGGAAGTCTTCATAAGCCGCATCAGCTTCATCAGCCTCAGCGATCGGATGACTTTCAGGCCCATCAAATCTTCGAATTCTGACACCTGCATGGTCACTGCCAAAAGGTCGAAGGGGATCATTGTAGCCAAATCTACGAGGAGAAACGTCTTCATGTAGCGGCAGCAAATGCTGGACAGCCGAACCTCCAATACCACACCATGGGGGGTTGTTTTAGGGTAGGCTGTGAAGAACTGAAGCACAAAGTCGACGAAAAAGAGCACATCTACCACCAAGCCCAAGACGAAGAGAAAATCCAGCTTGGGCTTCAATAGTGCAACCTGCACCGGGCTAACCAGCGCGACAAAGAGCAACGCAATGCCCATGATAATTTGCCAAATGCTGGCCAGTCGGCTGCGGTCAGGATTGATGATGTACCACGGCTTCTGCACAGTTTGGATGGTGTCCTCCTGTGCCCTCAAGACTGTGAACTTGATGCCACCCTCTTCGATGAGTCTGGTCACTGCCTTCCCCGGCAGTGGCAAGCTTGGGCTGGGGCTCCTTGGGCCCTGACACGCCACCTCCTGCCTCAGTGCTGACAATTCTGAGACAGTCGACATAAGTGAATCCTGCGACATGTCTCCCTGCGGCTCTGCATGCCCTGCAATCTTCGCGCCGGCATTGCCGAGCGCCACTGACATGGACTTCATCCTCCGGGCCGTTGCAGGAACCCACTGTGCGGGCAGCATCCCCCCGGCTTCACCAGGAAGATCCACCGAGACGTCAGCCGCCCAGAAGGTCTGGGGGCCTTGTAGGCCGAGACTGTGCGCTGGATCCTGCCTGGATTGACCCACGGCAGCCAGTGCCTGGCAGGGAATCAGGGGAAGACACTGGATGGAATTGAGGAGGTATGAAGCTTTACAGAGCAGGAAAATTGCAACTTCAGGGAAAACTCGCTAACCATTCGAACAGCGATTTGCACCCCTGTCATTCCGGAACTTCAAGCAAGACTGAAGTCTAGGCTGTCTCTCTTTGAGGAGTCTTGAAGCTCTTCCTGCTGAAAACTTACCGCACAAGCAGGAACTGCTATCCGAGACACAAGCGCACCAAGTAAATGAATGAGGCACGGAAATGCAGCAGATTGAATCAACCACGAAAACTCACATCCGATGCGGAACTGCCATCCTCACAGCAACAAGTAGATTGTGCATAGGGACGAGAAACCTGAATCCCAAAGTTTCAGTCTGCCGATACGCCCAGGCACACTCTCGAGCTGGACGTTCTGCATTTGGAGCTTGTGGAGCAGGGCCGATTGGCTTTCAAGCTCGCGGCTAAGGGCTGCCAGGTGTGCTCTCCATGGCTCCCGGCTGACTCCCCGCTCCATGGCGCACGTCACCTAAACGTACAGATCCTGTGCCTGCTGGCAAGGCACTAGACTGTACAAGAGCCATCAGCTCCTGCATGCACACGGCGAAGGCAGACAAGTTGTGTCTCCATGTTGAACAGCCTACTTGCATTCACCGTCTCAAGCAGCGATCTGCTGACAGCATTCTGGCGATACATGTGAGCAGAGACGAACAAGTTGACTTGTTCACAGACCTCCATGCAGCACATCGAACTGATGAGATTGTGCTTGGCTACTGATAGCTGTCCTCTCTAAGCCCGCTGCATAAAGACCACCGCAGCTCCTGCGCAAGCACTTGCAGGTGCAAAGCATGTTTGCATCAAATGCAGCCCGTCCGGCATGCTTCCCAGGGATGGGCTTTTCTTGCGGTGTTTCCAGGTGATAACACAATTTCGTGGATTTGGGTCTGCTGCAAGACGGGCTTGCCGGTCTGGTACACGTACATTCCGTAGAATCAAGCACTACCTGGAACCACCTAGAGTCCTAGAGGATGGCCCTTTGTTGTTAATTTGGCTGCAAAATGCTCTGGTCCCTCATGGCGAGCTTTATGCAAAAGAAGAGATTTTCAGAGTTGTCAGAATCCTCTTCGAACGCTTTACTTGCTCCAAAATCACGAGCATCTTCGGCCCGTGCTCCAGCCTATTTTTCAGCCCACACCGTCTGCGCATCTTTACTGAAGTCCAGGATCTTCTTTCTTGGCCATGAACAGCCCCGTCCGAGCGTACCGACACAGCAGGTAAACATGTTGGATACATGGAGCAAAGTCAGGTTCTACAGTCTCAGATATGGGTCTCCCATTGTGCGCACTATCGCTCGGGCTTACATGGAGGCCATCAGTATTCACGCCTTTGGGTTCTGCTCATGGGTACCCTGATCCCAGGGCTCTTTCAGGTCCTGCATGTCGACCAGCGCAGGGACAGCTTTGGGCAACTTGAGCCACTCAGGCTGTCACATGCAAGAACGAACTGGCTGGATATCCAGGTTGATAATAAAAGGCTGGCACCACGATATCAATTGGAGGAGGTCCGCCCCAACATCCCAACTGCGCAAATGACAGCTGCAGCTCCCTCTTTTTTCTTCCGCCCAGGCCAGTGATTTTCAAAGGCCAACGGATGGTTGCCTTGGTTGCAGGCTGCCCAGATGCTCACCCCCCCACAAAGTTGAGACTGCTGGAGCACCTATTGCTGGGCCACTCAGGCGCGGGCCTCATCGACAAAAACCCTGCGAGTCATGCCTCAGTTATCTTGACGTGCTTGAGCTCCAGCTTGAAACCGATGCATGCAAGCATGAGCTTATGCTGCCGGCCTTCTTCAGCTCTTTCGCATGGATTCCACCTTCATTAAAGCGTGGTCCCAAAACGTGCCGGTCTACATGCAGCCTACAAAGACACTTTGACACTAATCAACGATCGCCTGGTCCCGCACCTCCAGCCGCCTGCAAGAAAAGACGAGTCGCTCTGCAAAGCGCTTCTTTGGCAAGCCAGGGATGTTGGCCGTCCACCTCTTCGTCAACGGGTTTGCAACAGCAGCCACCAGAGCCGCGCCATAGATGAGCACCAGGGAAATGCCGCCTTCAAAGCCAACAGCGAGCTCAACTGCTTTGATGTTGATGGACAGGGGCTCCAGCTCCCTATCCCACCTACAAGCCAGCTCTGGAGCATGGCAACTACGCTGTCATAGGCGTTGGCTGGCTGCTCGACCTGCAAATGCCAATAGCATGCAACACATGCGCAGTGCGCAAGTTGAACTCCTTCACCAAAATCCTGGCACGCCGCCCTTGAAGTCTAGACATCTAAGCACCCCGTCTCCAGTCAACTCAAAGCTCGAGCTCCTGGCGGCTAAGGGTGCCAGGCCGGCAAAGGTCGCGCCAAGCACACGGGCCTTGGTGACACGACACGACAGGACGCTAGGCCCAAAAGCATTTTCACGGGGCTCTTGGCAGCTGTTCACGCAGCTTTATGATTATGAGGTTCCTGCATCAACTTCCGGCAGTCCTCAGATGCGGCACAGACACTGCTGACAGGGTAGCGCCGCGTTAAAGCGATGCTTGGCTACAGAAGAAACAAGGCAGGCGTCGGGGAGCCGGTGCGGACACAAAAGCCCGGGAAGCCTCGGCAGATCGCTTCTGGCAAATCCTCTCAGGAAGGGAGGAGCACCACTCAGGGCATCACGAGCAAGGCGCAGGCCAGCGCAATGGCAACCATCAATGCGCTTCCTCTTTCAATGGCCCAAGATTTGCGTCGTTGAACGCATGACTTTTCATCCCAGCCTCGAGTACGAGCCATCTTCACAATGCCTGCGCTTGAGGTATGCACAGGCGTGCGCGTATACTGCCAGCCCATCTCAGGAGTCGTAGCCGGTGGCCGCTGTCCCTACATCTCCATCTGCGAGTTAATACAGAAGTCAGCCTGGAAGAGAAGCCGCTGCAACGCTGGGAAACTGGGAAAAAACTGCTGACAGCCAAAGGCCGCGTTGTGAATGGACTGTCTCGAGACATGCTTGCTAAATGAAGTTTCCCTGAACTCAGAGATGCCAAGAAGCAGCTGCGCATTTCACGAGAAAATGGACGGATCAGTGAGGTCTTTGCTCAACAAATCGACAGGGGCGAACGACCCCAGGAGTGAACAGGTTGGCTTTGGAGACAACCTGCCCTCTCACTACACGGACTCAGGTGAGAGATTCTCCCGACAGCAATAGGACCATCCCTTTGGATCCTTTTGCAGTCAGAGGCACGCCACGGGCAGGAACTCCGAATGCCTACCATCGCTCAGAGGATGACCGGGATGACCTCGTTTTGCAGGTGCTCGTCCTTTGCGGCAGAGGAGCTCACAGCAGGCTAATATACACAAAAATTTACTATAGCAGTTTCCATTTTCTTTTCCATTATCCCCATATTACCCCTATATAACCCCAATATAACCCCAATATACTATAGGCATCTTTGAGCTTGGCCTTGCGTTGGAGCTTCTTGAGGTGGCTTGCCACAAGGAAGCCCAGGTAACCTGCCCAAAAAGGAAGCAAAGGCCCAAGGTCAGCAAAGGATTCCTTGTAGTGAGGTGAGCTCTTCCGGATCCAAACGGATCAGACACATCCCACAAGCAGTGCCAATACATGGCTGCGCACACATCATCTGGCATCAAAACATCCACAGCTGCTGGCTTCAAGCTGGGCCTAAACTGCAAATCGGCACAGTTATCCAGACCTGGCCACTTCTGCTTGGAGCTTCTGATGAATACAAGCAGCTCACTGCATCTTGTAAGAACATGGGCAAAGACCATTGCTCAGCACCCGGCAAGATAGCTAAAATAAACAAGTGAAAGGCCACAGGCGCCTTTCCGCCTTGGCACTGGCTTCAATGGCCGCTTCCGACAGCAGAACTGAAGCTGAACAAGGGATCCCCGGCACAAGCATACTGCAGCTGACACAAGAAGTGTGTAATTCTTGCGTCTACGCTTCCCTGTCTTGTCACCTGTTCGGCTTACAAGGGGGTCCCCTACGAGCCCAAAGGCAGCGACACTGTATTGGATTTGAAAGATGTGGCAAGGGAACAGACAACACAGACTGCCAGGAGCCCGACCGATCCACTGCAGGGTCGGTTGTCCACAGAAAGCCCACCACGTTCAAAACCTACGCGACACGACAACACATGGACTGGACTCGGACTGTAATCTCCCATTGCTTCACTACGTATCACGATGACTGTAAGTACATTGACCCCTTCCTGTCAACCTAACAAACCGTGTTTGCTGAGATGACTACCATCGCTTCTACTACTACCAGCAGTTTGTAGCTAAAGTCCACCCATCCCGGCCACGAGGATGACCAGGACTGCGATGCGGCCCACAACAGCCTCAGCCACAAGGTGACATGTTGGGCATCTGATTATATCCACTTAAAGCGGAGAAATCTGCACAGGGAGTTGCTTTAAAATTGGAATCCATTTCGAGACCCACATCAGGCTCAGTTCTGTTGCCGACGTGGTCGTCTGTCCTGGGCACCGTGCGTTAGGGTCCGTGACATACGCCAAGCCACTGAACACCAAGACGAGGAAGCCGAACCTGCCATCCACGACAGAAATGCTGTCATATAACTATAATAACCCATTATAGTAGTTTCCATTTTATTTTCCAGTACCCCTATATAACCCTTATATAAAATCAGTACATAATAGTAGTTTCCATTTTCTTTTCCATTATGCTTGGTCTGTCATTGGATCTCTCAAAGCATGGCTCGTAAACATGACAAGCTGCACCACATCAAGATACCATCCTGAGACATTGAATCACGAAATGACGTCAAGCACTTGTCTACTTCCTTGCAGCCAATTATATCAAGCTACCCATGG